AGCAGGGAGCCCGATGCGGGACTCGATCCCAGGACTCTGGGATCGCGACTTGAGCCGAAGGCAGACGCTTAACCATCTGAGCCACCCAGGCGCCCCTTAAAGATTTTATTTTTAATTAATCTCTGCACCCAACATGGAACTTGAACTCATAAACCCAAGATCAAGAGTTACACACTCCACTGACTGAGCCAGGCAGGCACCCCTAGTTGCCAGTATTCTTATACTGATTACAATAGATCAATCAAATATTGCTCTAATTAATTAGGTGAATATTTTATTCTTAATTTAAGAAGCAGAGTTTAGCAGTGTTTTGTTTTTTTTTTTTTTTGAGTTTAGCAGTGTTTAAAGCAGTTGTGAAGAGATGTAGATTTTAATAATGGTGTACATTTAATAATTTACACAATTGAGTGGGATGAATTTTAAAATTAGAAGCTTTCTGAATGAATATAATGTAAACTTTGAGATTTTACTGAGATTTTACCTGAAATTTATCATTGGAGTTACTAATACTTCTAATATTATTGATATATTTGTTTGGTAGGTTCAAGTTGTTCCAGTAGTAGACAGAATTTGACATTATCTTTAAGTTCTGCCAAAGACAAAGGATCTCAGTCTTGTAACTATGCTAATGGAGGACTTTTCAGTAAATACTCAGGTTCTGCACAGAGTTTAGCCTCCGTAAGTAACGAAAATAATTTATTATTTTATAGATCTACTTTTGTGTCTATTGTTATCTATTTGTTTAAATGTCATATAATTATAGATAGCTCTTAGTATGGAAAGAATCTTAAATCATCTGGTTTTGTCTGTTTTCTTTAAGCAAGTAAAATTTTCCTTTTGCTGAATAACCAGCCAGTTTGGTTCCAGCTTTCTTGAGTAAGTGATGTGGACACACAGGATCCTGTAGAATAGTGTTGATGTGGAAGTATTGCTTTAAAACTAGATGTTCTGCAAAAAAGCTGGAAGATAACATTCAGACTTTGTACTGAGTCACAAAATAATGAGCCTGAGTAGGTAAAAGTGTGTGGCTTGTTGAAGCCAAATGTGGAGTTCCTCACCTTGTTCTTTGGAGCATTAATATAGTATTGATTGACAAGTGAGGAATAAAGTTAGTATTGTTGAAGTTTAATATGGTTAAAAATTTTGTTAAATAAGTAAGATATACATTTACTACTAAATAAAGAAGAGGTAAAAAAAAAAAAGTATAGTGATAAATGTGTTCCTGATCCTCTTGGTTCTCCTCCTTAGAGACAAACAACATTGGTAATTTCTTACATATATACTTCTGGGAGGGTATGCCTCTACCATCATATATATTCATTATTTTAAATAGTTATTGAACACCATATTCTGTACCTTGCTTCTATGTTTTGTTGGAATATATAGCTGCCCCATTCTTAAGTGCCTAAAAATATACTAAATTTTTAAAGGCTATTCTGTGGTAGGAACATCTAGATCAAAGGCCTGCAGGCTTTTAGTTCCTCTTTAAAACTGAGCAGGATAATGAAATATATGCCCATTCTATAATCTGGATTTACTCTGTGTCAGAGAAGTGCCTCTGTTTTGAAACTTTTCAACTGAAAGTTGAAGCTGTTCTTCTTAACTAAGTAGAGAAAGGGAGTTTCATGATAAATTTGAGTAGAAAGTCTTTAGAATCACTTTACTGTACTTGCCTAAGCTGACCTCATCATTCCAGTGCCAGGGCTATGAACCCAGATTTCTGCCTTTTACTGAGTGCCCAAACAAGGCAACAGATGTGGAAAGGAGGGGACAGGGTCCATAAAACTTGGTAATTGGATATGAGAAGTGTGGGAAGAGAAGTTAAAGATGACTTTCTTTTTTCTAGTTTGGGAAATTATGGGGATGGAAGTATTATTAGTGAACCTGAGAGGAGGAAAAGTTTTTGTTTTGGGAAGATACAGAGCTCCTTTTTTTTTTTTTTTTTTTTAGATATTATTTATTTGTCAGAGAGAGAGATAGAGAGAGAGAGAGCACAAGCCGGGGAGCGGCAGGCAGAGGAAGAAGCAGGCTCCCCGCTGAGCAAGGAGCCCAGTGTGGGACTCGATCCCATGATCCTGCTTAACCATTTGAGCCTCCCAGGCACCCCCAGAGCTCCTTTTTGATATAGGCAGCTTAAGATGCCAGCAGAAGAGCTGAGTAGAATCACCAAATATTTCCACCAGATGGAAAAAAGGGCTAAATTTCTTTATTTTTATTTTTTAAAAGATTTATTTATTTGTTTTGAGAAAGAGAGAGCACCCATGAGTGGGGAGAGGGGCAGAGACAGAATCCCAAGCAGACTTCCCGCTGAGCGTGGAGCCCAACACAGGGCTTGATCTCATGACCCATGAGATCATGACCTGAGCTGAAATCACGAGTCAGACATTTAACTGACTGAGCACCCAGGCCCCCCTAGATTTATTTAAAAAGGACACAAAACTGGAAGTAGAGACTAGGTAGTCATTTGCATAGAGGTGACCTAAATGATTGGCTCAGTGCACCTTGCTAGAGAAGGGAAGATGATAGAGGCTTTTCAATTTTAGTTATTGTTTAGCAGAGAATCAGCATTGTTTTTTTTTTTTTTTTAATTTTATTATGTTATGTTAGTCACCATACAGTACATCATTGGTTTTTGATGTGGTGATCCATCCATTGTTTTCGTATAACACCCAGTGCTCCATGCAGTACTTGCCCTCCTTAATACCCATCACCGGGCTAACCAATCCCCCCTCCCCCCTCCCCTCTAAAACCCTGTTTGTTTCTCAGAGTCCATAGTCTTTCATGGTTCATCTCT